TCTTAGCAAAATGCAATAAACAAATGTTTTCTAAACTTGGTTTTTATTTTGGAGAACTTGCATTTTTGACATCGGCTAACGGCGTGACTAAACCAACCATGGGTCTGGCTAAACCAGCCCAACAGCGATGTTGAGGTAATCAACAGCGCTGTCTGGACTGGGTAGCTAAAAACATGGTTTGGCGTTAAGTCTTCCAACAGCGATGTTGGTCACTAGACATCGCTGTTGAGCCAAGGTTGGATTTCCAGAAACTTCTGGAACAGCGATGTAGGCTTCCCTACAGCGCTGTCCAACCTAAGCCAAAAATATAGTGCATTGGCAGAAAGTTTTTGGACAGCGATGTTGACCCAGCAACATCGCTGTCAGGCCAAACTTCCATCTCCAAAGGCAGACCTAAACAGCGATGTTCTAGGATAGAACATCGATGTAGAGACCTGACCGTTGGAAGGAATTTAAGGCTAAAACTTTCCTTGTATGGAAGTCAACAACCAAAACAGCGATGTAGGGGTTTTGGACATCGCTGTTGGCATGACCGTTGCTTCCCAATTTTTAAAAATCAAGCCTAGAACAGCGATGTCCAAGCCTAGGACAGCGCTGTCTGGGTGAATTTCAACATATCCAATTTTAATCAAATCCCACAAATTATGCCAATCACCCCTTAAATACTTTGGTCCGTTGGAGCCTATTTTTCTACTATAAAATGGGGTGTTTGGGTCTGTTTTACACATCACATTACTTCACAATTCCTACTCTTTCATTACAAATCATTCTTCAATTTTTCATAGCTTTTGAGAGCCATTTTTGTGAAGCCTGTGTTGTGTTCTTGAGCGTTCTTAGTTTACTCATTATCCACTCTAAAAGAGAGTATTGTTCTTGAGTGTTTTCAGTGTTCTTAGACACTTGACAAGAGAAAGTATTTCTCTTGTTGTTCGAAGGAAGGGTTGTTTCCTTCGAAGGTTCGTTGAGGTTCGTGTGACTCGAATTCTCAAGTTGTACGGGTTTGTTAAGCACCGTTAAGCTTAACGATGTTAGAATAAAGGCCCAACGCTAGAGGGGGGGGTGAATAGAGTTTGAAACAAAATCACAGGAAATAAAAACGAGAGCGTTAAAGTAAAGAGCGTAAGGAAGGAGCACACCGGATTTTATCCTGGTTCACCACAACATGTGGCTAATCCAGCCCCCCGAGAGACTCTCTCGAGCTTCACTAACTCTGTTAAGCTTAAGGGTGCTTAACAAACCGATACAACTTGAGAACCCGAGTCACACGAGCCTCAACACCTTTGCTCGGAGATACCGCACTCCAACACTTCTCACGAAGGAACAAGAAACTTCCTTCGAGTTTACAACAAGGAAACAAACTCCCTTAAAGTGTATGAAAACACTTAAACACTCAGGAATAAAACTCTCACAAAGAGTAGATATGAGTGAACTAGTAAACGCTCAAGAACACAACAATTTCTTCAAGAATTGGCTCTCAAATAGCTAAGAAAAATGGGAATGCTTATGCAATGAAAGAGTATTGAAATGTTGAAGAATTGTATGTTAAAAGAGAGGATTTGGGTGCCATTTTATAGCCCAAAATGGGATAAATCCGTTGCTAGAATTTCCAACAGGATGAAGACAAATTTTTCAAGGACACAGGCTGATAGTCGATTGTCAAAGCATGATAATCGATTATCCAAAGATTCCCTGTCCAAAAATTTAAAATTCTATCCGTTGGAGGACAACGGTAACCCAGATAATCGATTGTCAACAAGTGATAATCGATTATTGGTCCTCTCAGAAGATTCTGGGTTTTGGCTGCAAAGGCTGATAATCGATTATTGCGTGCTTCAGAACTTTGGAAGTTCAAAGCTGCAGTGGCTGATAGTCGATTGTCACTAAGGTGATAATCGATTATCACCCAGCTAAAGTTTAGCCAGCTGAAACCCGTTTTGAAAAACCGAGGTCCAAAAACGAAGTGTTCCCAAAAGTAAAAACCAAGTTTGAAAAACATTGTATATGGTATAAAATAGTGAAAGCAAGACTTGTTTGGTAAAAACCAAGTCCTGAAGGTCGTAAATCACGTGCGTACGGTTTTGACCGTTTTTCACGTGTTAGACCGATTGACCAAGATACAAAAGTGGTTTTTATAAAATAATTATTCGGGAACCTTTAAAATATGCTCAGAGATAAAAGCGAGGTTTAAAACATTGAAAACCACCGAGTTGGTTCGGGCGCCAAAAACCGAACGCCGAAAACCGAATGCCGAAAGCCGAACGCCGACTTAGTTGGTTTTGGTTCTGAGCAAGAACCAGGGATTTTTAACAATAAAAGAAGTCATCAAAAATGTTTGTTTTGATGCACAAAAAATGTTTTATGGTTTGTAAAAATTGTTTTGACTTTTTGAGAACCGAGACTTGAATAAATTGTCGGTTTTGATCACAAAAGACCGACTCGACTAAGTCTTCAATTCTTGATCTTGTCCTTGAGTCTTTTAGGTCTTGTTCCAAGCCATTCTTCACGCCTTGAGTTATTCAACGAAACTCTTCATATCCACGGCGGTTTGGCAATTATCAAAACCTGTCAGAAATGAACACGACTTTAGTTTAACGTACAAAGTGTGTTCCAACA